GCATCTAAAAAGAGAGAAACAATACAAAGACAGCAGAAAGATCAGGAATACACAACTCGATGAATAGATTGCAATTGAAAAAAAAAAGAAGAAAACAATAACGGAGAGAAATCAAAATATTTCCCTTCCCTAAGTTCCAAAGCTGTGAATGGATTCGCGTTTTGTTTTTTGCTCTTCGTCGCCTTATACCGGTATACCATTCTCTATATCCATATATATATATATATATCCATATCCATATATATATAAACATACTACAATAACCAACATTCCATTCCACTCTCAAGATGCCCCGATCAGCTCAATTCCCTAGTTCGCACCTGGACGCGGGCTGCGAGCAGCGCAAAACAGGCTTCTTGATCGATTGGGTTTTTCGTCTGCCGCTGAATTCGAGGTCGAGGTGCGTCGCTAAGTAGCTAGCTGAGCCTCACCTTTCTTTCTTTCTTTTTTCTTTCTCTCTCTTTTTTTTCTTCTTCTTTTTCTTTTCTCTGTTAGTTCTCTCTCAGGAAAGCTAGCTAGCTCGCTAGCTCGCTGGCTTATTCGAGCGATTTAGGCTATGTTGCGGGCTTGAAAAAGAGAGAAACCCAAGTAAGCTATGCTGAAGACTTCTCTAGTAGTATACGGTAGGAAGCCGTTCTGTTTATCCCTTTGTGCTGAGTTCTCTTCTTTGCTGTAGGTGATGTGGTGATGAGAAGAATGGTAGATTTATAGATTTATATATATTTATATAAATTTATTTATTTAGGGCATAGCTATTGTGCAAATCATTTGCGTCCCTTTGACCTTTGAACATGCCTGCTCCTGCTCGCTGCCACACCAACCATGGTGTGATATCAAGACCGAGAATCTGGCTTCTTACTTGATAGGGGCCCGTTGCAAGTCGTTTTTCGTATTAGGAAAAAGGGGAAAGGGGAGAGATAGATGTAGAGAAAGCGCACCGCATCAGGGCTCTCCTCTGGGAACACACGGCGCGCGTCGAGAGCGCGGATGAGCGATCGTTCTTCGTCGGGCATTGTTTCCCTACGATCATGCAGAAACTGCTGGCGGGGGCGGAGAAGATGTCGGGGCTGGCGCCGGCGACTCTGGTCTTTAAGACGGTCAAGGAGACGTCTGATTCGGTAGGCGGAAGAGAAGACGCTGGCGGAAGACCTGGAGTGGGTTGTTGTTAGCCGCCCACGGTGAAGGGTATAGGTGAGGGGATACGGATTGGAGAAAAATGCTTTATGATAAATACACTCATATAAAAGAAGTTTTGGCTCTCTCATGCCAGGGACAGATTTTCTTCCTTCGTCTGATGCGCTTTTCGTTTCCATGTTATCTGCCTCAAACTCACCATTTCAGACTCGAGAGAAATCAGCGAAACGCATAGTAGATCCAAGGAAACTTGAGTATTTAGAATTTCGTGTTCTTACAGCTCCCTTCATCGCTTTAAAACGACTTCGAAAAATTGTAACTATGATACTACCCTACATATAAGTAATCATGCACCCTATAATTCACTTAAAGTCAACGACCCTTACTTAGATCCAACGGTCAAATTAAATGCCATTACTTGCCCAAACCAGCCATAGCATGTCTGTGATTCTTCAAGCAATGAACCCTCAATACGGCTCAGAGGAGGCCATCGTTCTCGATAATAGCATTGAGGAGATGGGTTATTCCCAACCAAAACCTTCCCAGCCGTCTCCGGCTTGTCCCAAGACCCTTCGTACAGCTGGCTCGATGCCATCCGTGGAATCTTGACTTGCCGCGGGGCATTTATAGAAAGCCATGATAGCACCATCTAATTCCGGCCAGCCGCCGGCACGGCTCGCATTCAGCGTCACGGCACCGGTGTTTTTGCCGCCCACGGGAACTCCCGAGCTGGACGGGGGGTTTTTGCGCTGACAATCCGGGAAACGGAGAGCGCAACCATTTATGCGATGTGGATACGGAACGTGGGGATGTGGTGCGGCGGGCCGCATGATGGGTACGGACGGGGGCGGAGAGACCATGATATCTCGCACTGGGCTTTGCAGTCACGTGCCGTGCGGTACATGACTCGCCATGCTACGGAAAAGCAGGAAAGAAGAAGCTGTGGAGTGAGTTGGCAGTGAACTGGGTAGGGCGTGCGACAGTGGGCAAGAGAGCGTCGGGAGTTCTGGTCACATTGGATGAGATGACTGGATGCTGGGGATAGTGCTTGGGTTTGAGCAGCTCTTGTTGATGGGGAAACGAATGAAAATATTTCCCGTCAGTCCATCCTATGCTACCGGTACCGGTACCGGTATCCCAAGCGAGTCCAAGTCCAAGTCCAATTAAGCCCAAGCGCAAGATCAAGCCGAAGATCAAGCTTCAAGATCAAGCTTCAAGTTCAAGCTCTTCAATGACGTCAAGTAGAAATTGGTTAACCGCACATGCATCTCCACTCGACGTCCAGCATCAACAAACCGACAAAGAAAGTGAGAAGGCGAGAAAGGGAGACAGCGAGAAAGTCGAGAAAGAGAGAAAGATCAGATTCCAGTGCCCATGCAGGCGATGCCCGCTCCACACGTGACTCGCGCATCTCTCTGGGCTGGACGGAACGAATCAGAGTCTGAGTCAGGCTGGGTCAACCAGGTCACCCGGCCACTAGAGCGCCGCATCGTCATCATGATATCGCTGTCACCTCTGCAGGGCCTTGATTGACTCGGTACCAATAGCAATAGCAATAGCAACAGCAACCGCAACACCAATACCAATACCAATACCAACACCGGTACCAATACCATTACCAATACCAACACCAATACCAATACCAATACCATCACCCATACCATTACCATTACCACTGCTCTGCTCTACTCTGCCCTGCTTTCTCGCCTTTGTCCTATCTCTCCCTCTCTCCCTCTCCCTCTCTCCCTCTCTCCCTCTCTCCCTCCTCTCTCCCCTCCTCTCCTCTTCTCTCCCTGCAAACCATCATCCGAATCGACCTATCGACCTACGAACTAACCCTGCACCGCTGTACAAACCCAACGCTCTGGGTAAGTCTCCGTCTCGTCTCTTCTTGTGTTACTTTGTGTAGTTTGGCAATCGTCCGAGCTCGAGCTGAGCTGTGCCTTGGAGTCTGAGGTCCAAGGATGTGTTTGGTTCTTAACTCGCCATAGCCGTGGTCGTGGCCGTGCGAGAATCCGCTACTGAATGACTGACTGACCGACTGACTGACCGACTGACTGCTTGTTAAAGGTCCTCTCTCCGTCTGAATTTGAATCCATCCGAATTTTCTGCCAACATCATCTCATTAATACCCCCCCTTCCCCCACGACAAACACAACCTACCTTCAAAATGGCTGCAAGGGGCATCCGTAAGACTTCGCTTTCCCTCTCCTCTTCTCCCAAATCCAGTCCCGCACAGAAATGCTAATGCCTTCATCCCCAGGTGGCGCCATGGGCACTGTGTCCCTCATCCTCATCGCCGGCGCGACTCTCCTGATGCTCTTCGTCGTCCTCAGCGGAGTTCGCGATCATACCCCCCTCAACAAGTCGTACTTCCTGCGTGCAGATACCTCTTCCTTCCCCGGATCCGGCCGCCCAGAGTCCTATTGGACCTTCTGGAAGACCTGCGCTACGCCCGGTGGAAGTTGCGGAGCCACGGTTCCGGCTATGCCGTTTGGATATGCCTGGGTGGGCGGTACCGAGGGCGTTCCCACCGGTCTGGTCGGGTATGTTCTCTCTCCTGACGAGGAATGGGTTGCGGTAGTAGGATGACCGTTAATAAATGTGCAGAAAACACGCCAAGGGCACCACCAGCACTTTCTACTACTACGCTTGGAGATTCGGCTGGGTCTTCTATCTGATGGGTCTGGTGTCTACGGGTTTGACGCTCCTCCTCTCCGTCGCGGCCCCGTGCAGCCGCCTCGCGTCTGGAATCTGTGGAGCTTCCCTCGCCATCTCTCTGCTCTGGTTCTCCGTTGGCGCTTCTCTCATGACGTAGGCACTCCCCTCCCATTCTTCTCTGCTTCAACTTCTTGTCCTCTTTCTTCCCATTACCTCCCCCCCCCCTATTCCTCGTACACCCAGAACTGATAACCCTCAGCGCCACATTTGTCAAGGCCCGCAACGAGTTCCGCGGTGCAGGTATCTCCTCCTCCATCGGCCGCTACGCTTTCGGCTTTACTTGGGGCGCCTGGGCCTGCATATTCCTCGCGACAATCTTCCTCTTCCTCGGCTGCGGCGCCAGCACCAACCGCAAGGAGAGATACAGCGTCGACGACAATGTGCGCAACAGTACTATAAGCCGCACCGGAGGACCGGGCGGCAGCATCGCCTTCTGGAAACGCCAGCGTCACCCAAGCAAGCGCTCTACCCGGGGCTCGTTCATCGACACCGAGAACCAGCACCGCGTCAAGGACGAGTACTAGACTACCCACCCCCCACTTTAAAAAGCAATGCTTAGTAGCGTGGACGAGATTGATGACTGGGGACATGTGAATGAACGCAGTAGGGTGGGGCGGGGGGGATGGAGTTTGGCAACGAAAAGTGTACTTTGGAGAGCAGTGTTTACGACCGACAAATGGATACCCACGGCCTTCCAACTATCTACATAGGCGCCGGACTTGGATTTTCCCCTCCTCTTCTTCTCTTTTTCCAGATGGAAACAGATATGACAAGCAACAGCTGTAGACGATGTCTTGTATTAATGTTTGTAAAGTACGAAGGGGAAGAATAATGTAATGTTTACAATAATTGATACATGATCATATGAAAAGACGCTGCATTTCGTTCTTTCCACATTCTGATGGCGTTTTGATGGCATTTTCGGAGTGGCAAGCGGTAGTAGGCAAGCGAGTGTTTGGATTTCCTATTTCTACCCAGCCAGAAAATCCCTCCCTCCCCTCTACGGAGGGAGTACTTGATCCATCCATCTATCTACACCCTCATCACACCGGTCGCGCCACTCGAATCGGCACGGAAATCTCTCCCATAGCAAAGGATGGGCATGGGCATGGGCATGGGGATGGGGATGAAGCGCCCAAGAAAACACGACCGACCTACCGGTACATCCTCTCTCTCCTCTCCTCTCCTTTCTTCTCCTCTCTATCCTTTCTTTAACCCCTCGATTCTTGGACTCTTATACTTGTCCGGTTTGAGAAAAATATACAAAAAAAATTGGAGAAGAAGGGGAGAGAGAGAAACAGGGGAGTGAGGGGGGGAGAGGGGAGAGAGAGGGGGAGCGAGAGAAGAGAGAAAAATAAACGAGGGGACGAGAAGAGGGGAGAAGAAGAAGTGCATTTTGCGAGGTGATTCACGCAAACGCTTGTGTTTTATCTATCTATACATCTACCTACCTATCTATGAATAAAAACAAAATCACATCGAGAGGAGGAAAGCATAATCCCCCAAGCTATCTCTCGCAGTAGGTAGGTGTCTGAACCCGATTGATCGATCGATCGATCGATTTAGGTAGGTATGAGGTGTGAGGTATGGGGTGTGAGGATCCATCCACCCAGCTTCGAAAAGAAAAAGGTACTGCCGGTGTAGATATATCTTCTGAGGCAGGACCTAGCTAGCTATTTGTTTGTTTGTTTGTTTGTTTGTTTGTTTGTTTGTTTGTTTGTTTGTTTGTTTGTTTGTTTGTTTGTTTGTTTTTAGGTCTGTGCGATGGAGTTGGAGCTGGGAGCTGGGAGTTGATAAGGGGCCCTTTT